GTAGGCTACAGCTTTTGGATAAAATGTTTTTATTTACGACCAATACCTTTTGCATATTTAATAAAAACTAAAAAAAAGTCCATTTCCAGACACAAAATTGTTCATTACTAACCAAACTTTCAGCCGTTGTTGGTTCAAATAATATGTGTTAGTTAAAATAATAATACAAAGAGATTCAAAGAAAGAAGAAAGAGCTGAGATTTTTTTGTAGCATTGTAGATACCACTTCTGGTCTATCAGTTTCCATAAAAGTTTTGTATAGTTTTGCTTGTTCTGCATTATATCTTTCAGCTAGCGACCTAAACTCAAATTTTCAGGGTTTCGGTGGCAGTGTATAGGGACGAAAGCCAATGTTTTTTTTTTCTATCAACGCGATGGTAGTAAAAAATTCTTACAGAGACTGTTGTAATGGTGACCAAAACTTAAAAGATTTTAACCTTTGATCGCTTCCAAAAATTAAAAATAGTGTAAGCGCAAATATTTATGCTGTTGAATCGAACACTGAAAATACATAATCTTTTGAATTTTAAGACAGTGATACAAACTACTGATTATTTGTCTAAAAGAATCGAGTCCTGGAAAAAAACATGATTAGTATTGAGCTTAAAAACAAAGTTAATATTGTTATACAAGAACTCATAAAATACAAGACTGCAATCGAGAAATTTTAATGGATAAAGGTGGATTAAATATGTCATTTTTTAGTTCAAATGTTGAGCATAATGTGTCCAACGTCTTCTCACCATTACCTAAGAATTATAAGATAATTAAAATTTTGATTGCTGAAAGTCAAACTTGTTTTGAACTGTATGCTACCAAAATAGTTTTCGATCTAATATTTGAAAATCAATTAAATGACGTTGTAGAAATATTTAGCTTACTATACTGCTAAAAATTAAAAAAAATTTTTTTGGAAAACTATAGTATAGCCTATGCTGCTAGTGATTGGTGTTCTTTAAGAGTAAATTTTGGAAGCAATGAACTTGTGTAATCAATAGATGAAGAATTGAATTTGATTTCAAATGATGTTTGTTTAGCCTCATACTATTTACATCCAATTTGCAAAAGAAAACATTTTGCATTAATTGATGAAACGCTGATTGATAATATACATTTATTTTTTATTGATACGTTTAGCAAAATGGATATAAAAGGTTTAATAGAGTTTAAGGAAAAAGAAGGAGTTTTAAAAAAGTTTTTCAAGAAAGACTTGAAATGTATCGAGATTTTTTGGTGGTTTGTTGAAAACACATATCCAACATTTGCCTGATTTTGTTGAAAAATTCATACAAGTTCAGCTTTCACAAATTTAAAAAATTCAAATTACAAACGAGATGACAACAATGATACGAACAAAAACTTAAAAAAGTTATGTTATTTTTTTTTAAATTAATAAAAATTAGTCTAGTCATTCACTAAAAGCCAAATAGATTGAAACTTTTTTTTTTTAAGCATGGTGATCATAAAAAATGTAGAGACTATTTAATATCACAATATAAATAATTTAATATTCATGAAAAGTATTATAATTTGTTATACTCTGTCATTGTAATTCGTGGTGTTTTGTATGAAGACGAAACTATGATGGTTTTGAGGTTTGAACATAACTTGCCAAGCAAGTAGCCATATACGCTCGATCTAATTAAATATTTTGCAAGTAAGTCCTTTGGTTATCTACAGATTAAGACCTTTCTAAACAATTAATCATTAATTAAGTCGTTTTTTTATTATTTAATATATTGTTTTGGCTTTAATAAACATTTTATTCACTGTAAGAAAGCTACTCATAACAAATGTATTGTTTTAAATTACAAGTAAAGATGGAAGTTGTTTAAATGTACAAAACACTTAATTTATTTGAATAATAAAAATAAGACTAATTAATATTAGAAATGTGATTCTTTACTGAGCATCTTCTTGTTCTTGTTCATCCATAACATCTTGCTACCTTAGCCTGAATCTATAGTATAATATTATTAATTTCTTGGATCGCTGTTGTGTTAGCCAATTTTGTACTTTGTTATGAATTAATGTCCACTTGCTAAAAATTATTTTGAAATCACTTGTAGATGCTGGTATATAAAGTAGTATCTCTGCTAGCTTACTTAATTTTGTGAAGAAATACTGTGCTGCTCTTCAAAAAACTTTCCATGATTCGTACTGTCACCCGAACAATTTTTGAAATACTCAAGTCTGATTCGTGTAATTATTCAACTATGCCTGTCCTTCTTGACTTAAATTTTCTCAAAAAAAGTTATTTTTAGAGTTGCATACCGTTCATTGTCAACAAACTGGTGACCTTTAAAACTTGGATGAAAAAAATTGGCAGCAAGACTGATGGGATTTATAACTTTATCAATGTTCTCACGCAAGACTTTCTCGAAATTTCTGTTTTCCAGTAAGGAAACTTAAGCCTAAGCTACTTCTCAACGGCAAGTGCAACACTACAAGGACTTTTTTGGCAAATATTTACTAATTCCCAGACAGGGTCATAATTTCATAAAGCTGTAGTTCCTCTCATTCTTAATCGTTCGTCTAAAATAGTTTCAATGACTTGATGTCTAAAGTTAAATTGTTCTTTTTCTTCTTGTAATTGATTGTCTCATATATTATCACACATATGATTCAGATTTTAAAGACATTGCCTATGTGCATCTCTTTTACTACACCATCTAGTCTCTCCAGAAATTATCATTTTACAGCCACCTAAATTTAATAGCTGGTATTCCAACCTTGGTGTTTTAATATCTTTTATTACATCAGAAATTTCTTCATCAAATTCTTTATTTAATAGCGATCTAAAAAGTAAGTTGCCACTATAGCTATTGCATCTTAAATGCCACAAGTCTACTGTTCAGCCTATATTACTCATATTAGAAGCATTGTTAGTAACAACAGCGTAAATACAGATAATAAATTCACGAAGAGCGATATCATTATCCTGATCAACGATATTGCTAAGAGTTTCACCAGTCTCTCTTACACTGTTGAAATTCCAAGAATCCAAAAAGATGTTTTTCTCTAGTGTGCGCACGATAGCTAACAACTTTTAGTATTAGCTACAGAGTTTTTCCAGCCGTCTATTGAATTATTCCATCTTGTTCTTTTTCTAATTTAATACTCTCATAAGATTTATTGCACATACCATTCAAAATTCAACCTGATAAAGTGTTCCTTACAGGAAGAGAATAATCCGGGTTAAGTGCTTACCAAAATTTAAAAATTACTCTGATTCGACGTTTACGAATGGTATATTACACTAAAAAAAAAGTTGCCAATGCTTAATCAATGATTGTTTTTTGAATAAATTAGTTAATTGTAAATATATTTGTCCCATAAAATTGAAAATTTAAATTTAAATTGCCAACCTTTGAGGGTCCGTTTCTATATTTTCCCATGGTTTTAAGTCGAAACTTGATGGTATTTTTTGTTTTAGAGAACAATTTTCTAATACTATCAACGTATTACGTAATTCACTTAATTAAGATCAAATATTACAGCTGTACTAACCTTTTTTGCGTGATTTTGCCGCGTTTTAATGTTATCTACGCTTTCATACGTTTTCGACATTTCATACGATTTCGTACAGTTTTAAACAACTCACGGTATAAAACTAGGAGAATCATACATTTACACATCCCTCATGCTGATTGATGTCATTATAAGTATCTTTTGTTAATCATTTGTATAGATAAGACCTTACATTTACTATAGTACAATTAACTCCAGTGCTTACTTCTTGAGTGTAAGTTGTTACATTAAGGTGGCGCTCAACGTACCACTTTTGCTTTTTCTCCTCCACTTTTTTTTTCTTTTTTAACCCATATTCATGTATCAACTTAAGCACTATATAGATACACATATGCCAAACTAGTAATGCGACCTATTTTGAAAAGCCATCGCTGGGACTAGTGTCGCTGCCATATAATATTTCTTAGTAGTTAAGCATTACCCCAAAACCAAAATAATATATGTAAAGGGAGACGGAAAATACTTTAAAAATGATTCCCTTTCCCTGTCATGACATAATACAGGATAATTCTACGAACTTATGTACGTCTCATTGCCTTTGGCCATTATGACAACGATAAAATGGTCAGATTTTTGGCTATATGAGCACATGGCTTTCTTCGCAAGCCAGTCAGTCCAATTCATTCAATGGTCAAGCTAACTTGGGTATATACCTAAGGCAGCAGTCAGACTAGACACATGACCCGGAGAACGTGGTCAGTGCATTCAATGTTCAGGCCAGCTTGGGTGTGTATCTAAAGTAGTAGCCAAAGTAGAACACATGACCTGCAGAACCCGGTAGGTGTATATTTATGACCTGGAGAATATGGTCAATTTATTTTAATTTAAATTCAATCTAGCCACCTGTATCTTGCCTTGATAGCCACTTTTGTACCCCTTTTTATACAAAATAAAAGGAAGGAGCATTTAAACTTAAAGTGAAATTTTAAGCACCCCCCCTAGTTTATCTGGTGGTAATGCCGATGGCCAGGCAACTAGCTTTTATTAAAAAAAAAAAAATTTTTAACTCTGTGTTTTGGATGGCTGATACTTTCTATTATGTCCCCAGGGTATGGAGCGTAAGCTTAGGCCTAATAAAAAAATTCACTGTTACGCCATTTTTGACGTAACAAAATAGTACCATGGTTGCTCGCATAGCTATATGTGACAAATATACTTTAGTAAGGCACTTAGTAAATGTGTTCAGTACCAACATATCCATTCTTATAATTAACAGAACGTTTGATATTTTTCTTAGCATATAAAAAATAGTAATTACATTTTAATGAATATGTACGCTACTGCCGTATTCATATAAGATTTATTATACTTTTACATTCTGCGAATTTTTTAGTTTTTAAGTATTTTTTTACAATCTTTTTATTGAATAGACAGTTTTTAAAATTGATAATAAAAATACATTTTACTAATGAATATTTACGTAAATCTTATGAACTGTATTTAAAACAAGTTTGACTATGAAAATTTAGGTTGCTGCTAGAAAAGCGGCAATAGAAGCTGAAGTACCGATAGTACCTGGCACTGATGGACCAGTTAACTCGACGAATGAAGCTATTAAATTCTGTACAACATATGGGTTACCAGTAATATTTAAAGCTGCTTATGGTGGTGGAGGACGAGGTAAGAGATTTTATGAAACATAAGTTACTCTAGCTTTCTTTATTTTTAACTATAACAAGATCACTGTTTAATATTTAACAAGTATTTTAGTGTTGTTTCAAATTCTGTTAATTTATTTAGTTTTAATACAGTCTTTTTTTTTATGAGACTTGAAAAAGCTACTAATTTTTAACATATTTCCATTTAGTTACAAAAATACATTATGATGGTCCAAAAACTAGTTTGTTAGATTCTGTAATAACTTATATTCTTTTGTAATTTTTATGTAAAAAAATAGTATATTAATTGAACTAATTTTTAAACATCACTTTTCATTCAGCAATGAATGAAAAGATGAACTACTTTTTCATTTAAAATATAGTAAAAATAGTTACACATGGGTGTACGATATTTGAGAGCTGACGGTCTTAGTGCCCACGTTGTCAGAATCATCTTACTAAAACGTATAAAAATAAAAATAAAAATACTTACTTTTACAAAAACAGTAAACTTAACTGTAAAACTTTTTTACGAACAATATGAGAAATATAACTAGCAACTAATTATGAATGAACATTGAACTGATACTAATGCAAATATTTAAAAAAGTTGATACAAAATGACAGTAAAAACTACCACATTGTATACTTTAGAAAATAAAAAAAATTTATCGCATTTAATCTATAAAAGCCATTTTAATCTTTAAGAACAGAGAATCTTGCTTTATTTTTACGTTTTGCAGTTAAATAAGCGTTCTTTTATTATTATTTTTGTATAAAGGTTTAAAATTTTTGCATCTTTCAAATGGAAAGTGTAACTACATACAAACTGACAACTCGATTTAATCTCTTACTGCGTTTATGCTTATTTTTTTCATTCTCTCAACCACTTATAGTTTGCTCACGTAATTAATGGAACAGTCATGACTTTGGAAACGATATACAATAGTTTTCTTATGAAGTTAATTTATCTTGTCATTGGATGAAACGATGAATTTATTAAATTCATTGCATACATTTAGGGATACCTGTACATTTAAGTTTTTTGACGATGGGAACAATTAAAAAAGAAAATTACTAATTAAAAAAGTGGAATAAGAGGTTCTCAAGTTATTAGTGTTTTTTTTAATTTTCATCATTGAGTGAGCAGAGCCTACTTTTTACACATTTTTCAACGAAATGTTGCGTTGAGTCATTTATCTGTAAAATCCTTTTAGAAGTACAAATATTTCTGTTGTGAAAACTTTTATGCATTAAATGTTTTACTTGCGAATTATTTTTTAAAATCACCGATAAGTGCTCTAAAAAAGCATCGACTTAAATCTTCGATACATTCGATCATCGATAAAACTAAACAAATCTTCTATGATCACTGCGATGCATGACTCAACTAATATATTTTGATGCCTTCAACATCTTTTCAGCCTTACGTAAAGCCCTTGTATCACTTATAAACACTTTTTTAAGATAATTAATTGTAATAGTAAATACGTTTCTATGATTGAATCGTGGAGCCTCGAAGCTCTCTTCTCGGAAAAGTTCGAAGCGTGGGCCTTCGAAATTTCTCTTCGTGTAGATCATTGGAGTAGAAGTTGACTGACATGTTGTCAGTAAATAACAGTTTAATTGTTGTGTTCCGTTAAATAAATGTTTAAGTGGTACAAGGGCTTTACGTAAGACTGAGAAGATGTTGTTGATCATGAGCGTCTCGCAGTCACAACGACTGTAACATGCGAAAAAATATTAAATCAGTGAATAAAATTATTTTATAAAATTGTCGAATCACTATGAAGGAAGTTGTGGAGGATGTTGGCATATAATTTATTTTTTCCAGACAAATTTGGTGAATCTTTTGGGCATGAAACGTGTGGCAGTGAAATTTGTTCCACCATTGCTAAATTTTGAGCCGAATCAACGTCACATTAGTACCTGATAAACACCTGTTTGATTTAATTGTATAAATATTATTTAAACTAGGTTATACTTATTTTTAGACTCAGTGATGCTCTTAGATATCAGGAGTTTTGTAAATTTGAAATAGCCGATGTTAAAGATTCTGGAAAATATTTTAATGTGACAGTTGGAAGACCTGCTATTCGAAATACTTTGTGATTGGACCTGACTTTCATCAAAAAGTCCATCAACATACTTTTTTAAGACTAACTTATATGTTTACATCCATTCTTTTTATTACTTATATTTGAAGCCTTAGACAGTTTTCGAACGTGTAACATCAAATGACGAATCATTTTTTTCTGTAATACCGTGACAATTTCTTCTCTTGTTCACCAAAGAGTTCTTAATGTAACCTTGACCAATAAAATCCGTCTTTTAGCCACTAAGTGACTTGACTGAAACCAAATTAACACGTAAACTTGAAAGTAAAGTTGCAGTTGTTCTTAAAAATGCATGCCCAGTATACTTTTTTAGATCTTTCAGATTAAAATATAATGCTATAGTTCTGGAAACTTCCCTAATCTTGTTTTTTCCAATATTTTGATTTAAGCACTTACCATTGCGATAAGTAATAAAAAGAATGGATGTAAACATATAAGTGAGTCTTAAAAAAGTATATTAATGGACTTTTTGATGAAAGTCAGGTCCACTCACAAAAGATTTCGATTAGCAGGTCTTCCAACAGTCACATTAAAATATTTTCCAGAATCTTCAACATCGGCTATTTCAAATTTACAAAACTCCTGATATCTAAGAGCATCACTGAGTCCAAAAATAAGTATAACCTATGTAATTGACAGGAGAGGGATCGACAACAAAGAAAAGGAAATTGTCTTGAATTTATATTTTGCTGATTTATTTATTTGAAAAAAATACATATTTGCATCCACGCGCCAGCACTTACCTTTATCGTGGTCAACAACACACTACTGCCTATCCCTACGTGTCCTCTCGCTTCCCCTTCTACGCCCTACGCTCTCCCCTCGCGAACCCTTCCATCTATCGCTCTCTCACAGAACTAGCTTCACGGGCGCCATTTAGAATACATCGTCGCATTCGTCGCTCGCCGCGTGCTGACGCAATGTTGCAGAGCTTATATTATAACACATTTTTTTTATTTTAACACAACATTTTTTGCGATTAAACGGTTGAAGACTATAAAGATGTAGGTAAATCTTTAACTAGTCGTATTGTAAAGTAGATAACAATAACAAATTAGAAATTGGATTTGACGGGGAAATGTACCTGTCACCTGACGGCATAGGCTGTCCAGTGACAAACCTACCCGGGTTTGACCCTCATCAACAAGTCTGAAGGCACGGAGTCTCATGGTTACAGTGGCGTGGTGGCAAACGAAGCATCTACGCGTCGTCCCAGTGTCGGTACATCTCCTCCGCATATTATATACTACGTTTAGCCGGCCCTTGCCCTTAGCTTCAACCGTCCCCTTACAATCTTGAGTTTCCTAGTTGATTCTTATCCTAATTTCCTTACATACTAGTTTTCGCATCAAGGCGTGGGAATAAGTACGGGCTGCGCCACCCACACTTATACCGATGATTTGGTCACTTACAGTCCTCCCCCTCGTACAAGAGGATCAGGAGACTGCAACCTCTTGTACCTCATCACTGAAAAGCTTAATCAACTTGACTACGGCACGAACATACTCCACACCACCTGATCTCACTTTTGCCGCACGTATCACTTTGTCTGCACCCGCATACACCTCAACCACCGTTCCCCTTCGCCATACGTTCCGTGGAGCTTGCAAATCTACAATCAAGACTATATCGCCTCGTTTGATTTCGTCGGTCGTATTTTGCCACTTCTGACGCTGTTGCAATGTGGGCACATACTCTTTCAAGCACCTTTGCCAGTAAAGCTCCACCAACACGTGCGCTCGCTCTCAATCCTTGCGCAATTGAAGACGAGGGGCGCTACGCGTGGGCAACTCTACGGTGCCTGTTGAACTGCCTAGCAAAAAATGGTTAGGCGTCAAGGCCTCATTATCGCCTGGATCAACGGACACATGGGTCAACGGCCTGGAATTCACCATGTGTTCAACTTCTGTCAGCACCGTGTGCAGAACCTCCTCGGAAGGAGCTTCATTGGCTAGTGTCGCGTGGAGCGCGACTTTGACGGAACGTATGACCATTTCATCTCATTCGCCAAAGCGTAAGTGTTTTGTTTCGACCGATCGATTTTTGTTACAGCCTCCACGAGTTCTGCACACGCGCCTCGGAAGTTGGTGCCATTATCGCTGTACATTACAGCTGGCCGCCCCCGTCGCGCAGACATTGCCGCAGGGCCATAATTGCAGAACCCGTATCCAAGCTCGCCGCGACCTCCACGTGTACCGCGCGCGTCGTAAGGCACGTGAATATTACGCCCCAGCGCTTGACCCTACTGCGCCCTATCTTGATATACAGAGGTCCGAAATAATCAACCCCACAGTGGGTGAAGGGCCGCTCTCTATACGCAAGTCGGCCTTCGGGTAACGCAGTCATCAACGGTGCCTTTGGTTGCGCGCGACGCAACTTACATTCCCAGGCATCCGTTGCAAACTGACTTAACAGCGGGGCGTATTCACACAACCGTATACCATTGCAAGATCTCATTAATTACCGTTTCATGGTTCACATGCAAATATCGACAATGATAGTCGCGTATTAACGCGCGTACTGCAGGGTGCTTCCCATCGAGCACAATCGCAGTTTGATTGAACTCAACATCTTGTATTTTTGTAACTCGCCCGCGTATTCGGAGCAGACCCCGTTCATCTACATACGGCATATAGCGCGATAATTTGCTTCCTGACGATATTTTCTTTCCTTGCTGAAGGGATTGAAAACTGTCGGATTGTGCACCTCAAAGGACGTACTCTATGGCTCACTGTTTCTCGATTTCCGGATCGCATATCTGTGGCTGTCGCACCAATCGCCTGAGAAATTCGCACTCACGTCGCGCTGCTATAATTCGCGCCTCCCACCCTAGCAATCGTGATACTAGAGGCGTATAGACCTCATGGCCAGATTCAGTACAAACGCGTTCCGCGGGCCTTTCTCT